ATCCCCGTCCCCGTCCCCGTCGAGCTCGTCGTGCTCGTGCTCGTGCGCGTGGTGTGCGCCGTGGTGCGGGTACGCAGGGACGGCATCCTCATCCACCTCCGCCTCCGCATCCGCGTCCAAACTGTCCCCCTCGCCGTCCCCCTCGCCCCCCTCCCCGCCCGCGTGCCGATGCCCCTCGTCCACCTCCATCGGACTGTGCGTCCGCAGCGGCGGGAGCAGCCCCGGCGCGTGCGCGCCCCCGCCGCCCGCAGCGCCAGCGCCCGCCACAGACGCAGACGGCAGCGGCGTGAGCCGGTTCTTGATCACCCGCCCCGCGCTCGGCGTCGCGGCGTGCGCATGCGCGGCGGCGGAGACGCCAGCGGCGGTGTGCGCGTGCGAGGTGTGCGGGAGGGACGACGACGAGGACGACGAGTGCGGCGCGGCGGTGGAGCGCATGTTGCTCTCCTGCGGCGGCTCGCGCTCTCGGTATGCCATACCCGCGCCTGGGCCTGGGCCTGCCCCGCCTGCACCCGCACCCGCACCCGCACTCGTCCCCACCCCAGCACCCACCCCCGCGCTGAGCGTGTCCGTCCTCTGCACCGTGTTGCCCCTCGACGGCGTCCCCGCCCCGCTCGCCTGTCCCTGTCCCTGTCCTTGTGCACCCGCCCCACCCACCCCCACCCCCTGCTGCGCCGCCACCGCCGCCTGCGCCGCCATCTCCATCGTCCCCCTTCTCTCCACCCTCTTCATCTTCTTCCTGCACCGATCGCACACCGTCCCCGGCCCCAGCGGCCCCGGGCCCCACTTCTCCACGCACTTCCCGTCCTTGTACCGCCCCGGCAGCCCGCACTGCCGGCAGATGCGCTGGTGCGCGGCGTTCGTCGCGGGGAAAGGCGTCTGTGGGCGTTTCGTCGTTAGTTATGAGTCATAATGTTTATAAGATATTATAGGGAAAGGGAAAAGAAAGACAGGGGAAAAGGCAGGCAGGAAAGCCACTCACCCCCGGATTCGCCACCACCGCCGCAGCGGCCCCCACCGGCGCCTGCCCCGCACCATACCCAAACCCACCCCCGCCCGCACCCGCATGCAGATCCTTCGTCCCCTTCTTCTGCGGCTGCGTCTGCGGCGGCGGCGCAAACACGCTCGGCTGGCTGTACCCCGGATCCTGCCCCTGCCCCGGCCCCTGCCCGGCCCGCCGCGCGTCGACCGACCCCGCGCGCTGCGGCGTATGCTGCCCCGGCACGTCCAGCGTCGCGCCCCTTTCCCGTTCCCGCTCCCTTTCCCTATCTCCACCGCGCGAGGGCGCGCTGTACCCCGGCGTACCCGCGTGGTTCGCGTTGGCGGCAGGATGCACAGGGTGCGCAGGGTGCGCCCGCGGCGACGCGTTCGCGCTCTCGAGCAGCAGCCGGTCGAGGTCGTCGTCCGACGCCGTGCTCGGGGACCTGTCCCGCCCGCCGTCCCGATCCCTGTGCCCGTGCTGGGACTGCGAATGCGAGCGGGGATGCGAATGCGACGAGTGGGCGGGGTGCGTGGGTTGGCGTTCGGGCGAGCGGCGCTGCCGCGACACGGACTGTAGAAGGGGCGCACCAGAGCCGGAGCCAGAGCCGGAAGGCGCGTTGGGGTACCGAGACGCGGGGAGGCCGGAGGGGTAGTACGCGTGCTGCGCGTTGGGGTGGTGGTACTAGAAAATGAATATGAGTCAGTATTGGATTCGATTCGGATCAAGCAATGGGACGGAGAGCACGAAAGAAAGGAAGAGTAAAATTATCAAAGAACGACGAGCTGAATATACGCGGAAGGCCCTCAAAGCCCACGCACGGCTAGACAGACAGCCGCCGAGGGTCGCAGCAGTGCGTCTAATGCCACCGCGTGGAACCTCACGTTCCGACTCGCCTCACCGCCGACGAGACAAGAATACATACGCGTGAGGCGTTAGCACTGGCCGTCGCGGAGTTATGCACTTCCCCGGCGACGAGAGAGAGAATTCGAAGGATGACGAGACGCGCGAAAATGGGACGACGAAACGAATCAAAAGAAAGGAAGAAGAGATGGTAGTCAACGAGGAACGCTGTGCAGTGAGCGTGGCGCTCGAGGGACGGCGCCTGTTGAAAAAAAAAATTGCCGCAAAAAAAGGGGGCGCTGCCCGGCAAAAGAAGCGCAGTGCGGTGCGGGGATATCCACTTCCCCGCCGACGCGACACCAAAAAAAAGAAGGCGCGTAGAAAAATATCCACGGGACGAAACAAGAGATGGAGAAAAGACAAGACGTAAAACGAGGAAGAAAGGACTGGACCGAAGAGAAAGCGCAAGGAGAAGTGCGCGGGCGGAGATATCCACACAACGTCGAGATCAAAGAAGAAAAAGTGATACTTGACGAGGACGGCACGACGTCGGGTGGAGATGGACGTCCGTGGGCGGCGTACGAGTACGCGCGTACTCGCAGCCGCGCGCGGCCGGGCCATGCAACGAGGCAACAGGCCCAAAAAATAACGAACGCACCGCCCCGTGAACACACCCCGACGAGAGAACGGAAAAGAAATGATCGCAAAGTACCCACCTCGACATCGCCGCTATCGCCGCGCATCTTCTTCGGCGGGTGGCCGCCCCCTCCAGACGTGTACTGCACGTCCATGCTGTCGCGCGGGCGGCGGCCCAGCCCACTCGTCGTCGCGCCCACGCCCACGCCCACGCCCACGCCCGCGCCAGGCAACGGCGGCAGCGGCAGCCCGCCAAACGCATCCCGATGCGTGCCGCGGCGGCGCTCGCGGTCCGCGCGCTCGCCATGCGACGGCGGCGGCATGTAATACCCCCCGCCTCCGCCCCCACCTCCGTAGCCACTCATACCGCCCATCCGGTCCATATACGCGCCGCCGCCGCCATAGGGATAACTAATCGGCGGCGTGGCCCCGGGCCCGGAGGGGAGGGGGACGTCGACGAGGACGAGGCGGCCGCCGCCGCCCTCGACGATGCGGGTGAAGCCCTGGCGGGCGTCCTGCGCGCGGGCGTCGACGACGCCGAGGTAGGCGTTGAGCTGCGCCCAGTTGGACTGCAGGAGCGCGAGGCGCGCGAGGGCGTCGTCGCGGCGCTGCTCGGCGGCGGCGGTGCGCTCGTCGAGCGCGAGGAGGTGCGCGACCGTCGCGGGGGGGAGGCCTTGCGGCTGCGGGGTGGACACCGCCGCGGGTGCGGGGAGGGTGGTGAGCGGGGCGGAGGGCGAGTCGCCCGGCGCGGGGGGCGAGGTGGTGCTCGTCTCGGGCGACGCAGAGGGGTCAGCGGTGCTCGCGGTCGTGGGTCGGTCGCCTGTGCTGTCCTGTGTGGGCGGGGTGAGGGTGGCGGCGACGGCGGCAAAGGTGGTGAGGAGGCGTTCGGCGCGGTCTGCGCGCTTGCGCTGGGCGGCGAGCTCCTCGCGGACGGCCTCGAGGTCGGTGAGGGCGCCGGCGAGGAGGTTCGCGAGGTGTGCGGAGGTGGAGAGGGTGCCGGGGAGGGCAGGAGGGTTGGGAGGGGAAGCGGCAGGAGCATGAGGCGCAGCGGCGGCGGAGGTAGCAGCGTCGTCGGCAGTAGATTTATCGAGCGCGGGCATGGGCACATCAGCGTCCTTGTCGTTGTTCGCGGCGGCGGCGGCGGGGGCGGGGTCGACGCCAGGGATGTCGGTCATCGTGGCGCGTGTTCTGCGCTATTTCCTCGTATACTCGCAAGAAGCGGGAGGGGTAGTTTTGTGTGTGCGCGCCTTTATCGAATCGCGGTTTTTGTTGGTTCGCTCCACGCACGCACTCGCCGGCACGCGCCAAACCGCCAAGTCCGAGTCCGCTTTCCGAGCCACACGAGCGGGCCATTCCAACCCAGCTTGCCGCGTGGAATCACCCACCGCATCACGGAGTTAACAAATATGCGCCTTGTTCGCCCTTTCTTCGCCCCGACGCCAATCCCTCTCTCGTTATTATTCTGTTCCCGTGCTGGGCCTGACGACTATCCATCCCTTTGCCTCCTCAGCGCCTCACCTCGACTGTCGTTTCAAAGTACAGCAAAGTACTTTGACGTATGTAACACCATCACCAAAGCGCGCTTCTGCGCCGCGCTCCCCGGGGTCCCTTCTGCCTGCCTGCCTCCCTTCGTTTCCGAAGCCCAAACGCAACGCGGCGCATTCGCTTCTGATCCCCGCTCGAGCGCCGATCCAATTAGCCACCCAGCCAATCGCATCCATCGTCCCTCATTATGCATGTTCCCGCCCCGTATCCACCCGTCTGCCCGCATCCAATCGACCTCGCGATCCTCGCATCCCGTATTGCACCTGTCACCGTACGTCGTGCCACCCATATATTGGAGACGCCGCCGCCCCGCACCGCCGAGCCGGTTCGCGCGTGCGTGCGGCGGGTGTTATTCGTATGTATGTATGTAATAGAACGCCCCTCCTTGCCGCGCGCCTCGTGCCTCGTGCCCCCGCGCCATCGCACACCCATCACGTAATCCTACGTCCTCCCCGCTTCCCGCGCCCTAGGCCTTCGTTGCGCAGGCACGGGCACCTCGGTGACGTACGTACTCATTGTTGCGACTTCGACGGTCGCTGGTGCGGGATGATCATCCAAATTGGATTTGGTGCAAATTTCAGATCGAGGTAATGAGGATACTAAAGTCAGGGATGGACGTCGGGTCCAGTATATCATATCGTCCATACCAGGACCATACCGCCCATGCCCGCCCGCCTTCTTCGGCTCAGTGGTAACAAGTTCAGAGATTTACGTATACGCGAACGACCCCGGGACTGAGTCGGAATTTAAATTAGGAGCTAGGAGCTAGGGGTCGGTAGCGCTGCGCTGCGCGTCGGCGAGCGAGCGGGCGCCTCGAGTCCCATCCAATGGCAATTTGTTTCACCGCCGATGTCGATGCCGATGCCGACATTTTATTTATTCCCTCTGCGTCCGTACGACAACATACCATCCAGATCTAGATATTTTATGTATTCCCTCTGCGCGCCTCGCACCTTCAATTAGTACGACAACATACCGTCCAGATCTATAGGCACAACAAGCGTCCTTGGTGTAGGGTAATACACATCCTGTTTGTATCAAGTCGAAGACAACAAGTCTTCAGGATGAGACCGGGGTTCGACTCCCCGAGGACGCATTTGCCAGTTGTTCCGCAATTTTTGTCTTTTCTTTTTTTTTTGGGCTACGTCTGAATCAGTCCCCAACAAATACCTCAGCGTGCCTACCCTGGTGGCTACCCTGGTGCCAGCGTCCTTGGTGTAGCGGTTACACGCATCCTATTTGTTCTCAATTCACGCAGGGCCTTTAGGATGAGTCCGGGGTTCGACTCCCCGAGCGCGCATGGACTTGAAAGGTGTTGGTTTTGCATTTTTTATCTTATTTCATTTGGGGCGGTATTCAGTCTCTTGGGTTTATTTTTTGTCTTGGTTAACACATTCTGTATCTGTCTTACTCTTTTCCCTTTCCTTGATTTTCATTCAGATGGTTGCCATACAGTGTGGTGTGGGCAATGCTGATCCCCCTATTTATATTTATGCAAGCAAGTCAAACACAGTGAGGCAACATACTTAATACTTATAACTTATTAGGATGTGGGTGAGCACAAGCACAAGTGCCCTTGGTGTAGCATTAACACTACACCAAGGGCACTTTATGCCATTTGTACTTCCCCACGTCCTATAGCTAATAAATTATAAGTATGGTGCCCCCCCGGATGGCTTGTATAAATAAATAGGGGGTCATCCTTAATGTTCTTTCCGTTTAACAAACAGGATGTGTGCTAACGCTACACTAAGGGTACTTTGTGTTTACTTACCCACATCCTAATAAATCATAAGTATGTTGCCCCACCGTGTCTGACTTACTTGCCTAAATAGAAATAGGGGGGTCAGCATTGCCCACACCACACTGTATGGCAACAATCCGAATGAAAACCCAATGAAAGGAAAAAGAGTATTTAAGACCGAATGTGCCAACTAAAACAAAAATAAACCTACAAAGTTGAGAGACTGAATACCCCGTCCCCCAAAAAAAAAGAAAAGAAAAAACAACAAGGCGCTTTCTGAATTAATGTGCCCTCGGGGAGTTGAACCCCGGACTCATCACAAATGAAAGAGAAATCTTCACATGGCAGACGTGTGTAACCGTACACCAAGGGCGCTGGTACCAGTGTGTGTAGACACGCTGTGAGGTGTTGGACGTGGCAAGCCACAAAAAAAAAATGCAGATTAGAGATCACCTGCGCCCTCGGGGAGTCGAACCCCGAACTCATCTGTAATGTTCGTTACTATCAAATAACAAACGGGATGTGTGTTAACCAAACACTACACCAAGGGCACTTTGTGTTTACTTACCCACATCCTAATAAGTGTAAGTATGGTGCCCCAGCACATATGACTTACTTGCATAAATATAAATAGGGGGGGGGTCAGCATTGCCCACAGTGTATGGCAATGATCTGAATGAAAACCCAAGGAAAGGGAAAAGAGTAAGACAGATACAGAATGTGTCAACCGAAAAATAAACCTACAAAGTTGAGAGACTGAATGCCCCGCCCCCCCCACCCAAAAAAAAAATTACCAAGCAATGCCATGCGCCATTGGGGAGTCAAACCCCGGACTCGTCACAAATTAAGGACAGGAAAGTGTTACATCGCAGACATGTGTAACCGTACACTGAGGGCGCTGGTACCAGTGTATGTAGACACGCTGTGAGGTGTTGGATGTGGCAAGCCACAAAAAAAATGGAGAAGAGCGGGACCCATGCGCCCTCGGGGAGTCGAACCCCGAACTCATCCGTAAACTTTGTTCCTATCAAATAACAAACGGGATGTGTGTTAACACACATCCCGTTTGTTAAGGATAGAAAAGGAATATACAGATGAGTTCGGGGTTCGACTCCCCGAGGGTGCATGCGATCTCTTAATCTGCATTTTTTTTGGTGGCTTGCCATGTCCAACACCTCACAGCGTGTCTACATACACTGGTACCAGCGCCCTTGGTGTACGGTTACACATGTCTGCGATGTAACACTTTCCCTTTACTTACTTTGTGATGAGTCCGGGGTTCGACTCCCCGATGGCGCATGGTGTCGCTTGGTAATTTTTTTTTGGGGTGGGGGGGGTGGGGTATTCAGTCTCTCAACTTCGTGGGTTTATTGTTTTCGGTTGACACATTCAGTCTTCCTCTTACTCTTTTTCCTTCCTTGGGTTTTCATTTGGATCGTTGCCATCCATACGATGTGGGCAATGCTGACCCCCCTATTTATGTTTATGCAAGTAAGTCATACGCAGTGGGGTAACATACTTATTACTTCTTAGGGTGTGGGCAAGTACAAACACAAAGCACGCTTGGTGTAGTGTTTGGTTAACACACATCCCGTTTGTTATTTGGTAGTAACGAACATTACGGATGAGTTCGGGGTTCAACTCCCGAGGGCGCATAGGGTCTTCTTCGGCAATTTTTTTTGTAGCTTGCTACGTCCAACACCTCACAGTGTGTCTACGTACACTGGTGCCAGCGCCCTTGGTGTACAGTTACACACGTCTGCAATGTAACACTTTTCTGGCCTTTAATTTGTGACGAGTCTGGGGTTCGACTCTTCGATGGCGCATAGATTCGTTCGGTAAGGTTTTCTTTTTTTTTGAGGGGGGCGCCGGTATTTAGTCATGGGTTTATTTTTCGGTTAGCACATTCTGTCTTAAGTACTCTTTTCCCTTGGGTTCGGTTTTCGGATCGTTGCCGCGCTGATGCCCCTATTTATGTAAGCAAGTCATATGCGGTGGGGTAACATCCTTATAATTTATTAGGATGTGGGTAGGTAAACACAAGTGCCCTTAGTGTAGTGTTAACATACATCCCGTTTGTTAAATGGTAATAAGGAACATACGGATGAGTTTGGGGTTCAATTCCTCAAAGGCGCATATTTCTTGTCGAGTTCTTTTTGGGGGGTTTGGTTTGGTTGGTTGGTTGGTCACTCTGTCTCAAAACTTTTCCTACTCTCTCTCTTACATACAGCCTTTTGCAGAACTTAAGTAGAGCAGGGATGGTTTTTTGTTCTATTTCAACTTGGATTTTCATGAGGGACACCGCGGCCACAAGCTCAATTTTGATCGGACTACCTCAGCACTTCTGGCACTAAGTCTGGTAGGAATCCGATCTAATTTAGTTTAGTATGTAGCACGGAAGATGGAAGATGCATGAGACCAAGCTCAAGGGCTAAAAGTGTCCTTAGCAAAGAAACACATCTTGGAAATTAATGGGACATCATTTAAATAAGATGAGACCGGGGTTTGACTCCCCGAGGACGCATGAGTCTGTCATCCATAACATTTTTTTTTGTTCTTGTATTCTATTCTGTGGTGCCCTTCATACTACGTCCAATAAATCCCAGTCCTTTCACTGCCGGTATTTTTATTTGTTTGTCTTGCATTCACCTCTCCTTTCGGCACTGAGTCTAGGAATCCGATCTGGTTAGTTTAGTATGTAGCATGCAAGATGGAGGATGCATGTATCATGTAGCTAGGTACAAAGTGTCCTTCGTGTAGCGAAAACACGCATCTTGGAAATTATAGATAGGGCAACATTTAAATCATTATCAGATGAGACCGGGGTTCTGTCAGGGGAACCACCCGTCCGTCCGTCCGTCCGTCCGGCTCCGGCCCATCGCACCGCCCCACTTCCTCGTCCGATCCTTCGTCCGGCCTCGTCCGTCCATCCGTCCTCGCCCGACCATCCGGCCTTCGGTCCTATGCCCCAGCCTACGCCTCCGTCTGGAACGTCGCCCTCCGTCCCCCTCCGACCCCCTGCGTCCGGTCGCTCTCACTGGCACGTGCTATGCGATCAAGCTCGAGACCACTGCCGATCGATCCGGACATGTGCTACTGGCTAGTACCTACAAAAACCTCGCCTAGCGTGGGAATCCTTATCCTTTCTTCTCTTCGGATTCTCCCGCTAGGTGCGTATTCTAGAAACCTGTCAATTGAGTTACTTCGGATTCTCCCACTAGTCTCCCGCGCTCCCGCGCCGAGCTGAGGTTGCCCTTACAGCAGAAGAAAGGATCTAAGGGATCAACCGGTCAAGATTGCGAAGTTCGGTGTAGACTCGGACTCGGACCGCTACGCTAGCGCTCCGGCCTCCCCCACTTCCAATCTCGACCCCTCCTCCTTGATGGACGCCCCGACGCCCGGAAACGGGTCCGCGCCACCCGAGCTCCCGGATGTTTACATCCCGGACCCGGCTGCCGACCCCGAATCCCGGCTGACAGCGGTAGAAAGCTCTCTCGCGAACATCGAAACCCTACTCCTCCGCGTTTTACACAACAACCAAAATCCACCCGCGACTGCCCCCGTCCCTGCTGCTCCGGCTCCGGCGGTGGGTCCAGACTTCACCACCCTCACCCCTGCAGCAAGATCGGTTCTCCGACCGAACCCCCCAGCCATTTTCGACGGCGACCGGACTCAAGGACGGATGTTCCTCCACTCCGTCCTCACATACCTCCGACTAGTTCCGGAAGCCTTCATGGTCCACGGACAGGTCGTCGAGGAAAAACTCGTGCGGTACGCCATGTCCTTTATGGCGCGAGACGCGGCCGGACAATGGGCCGAACGACAGTCCGCAATCGTTCCGTTCCCATTCCCGTCCTGGGCGGAATTCGAGTCTGAGTTCCGGCTCCGGTTTGTAGAGGAAAACGAGCAAGACCAAGCTCTCCTCCGGTTGGAGACCCATAGCTACTACCAGGGCTCCCGCGACGTTTACCGGTACACGGACGACTTCGAGGAACTCGCCGCCACGGCCGGGTACACGGACCTGCTCGTCCGCATCACCAAGTATCGCGCAGGGCTCGACCCGCGGATTAACGCGGCGATCACCACGTCCGGGACCGCTCCGGCACTGCTAGACTACGCCGGATGGCGCCTCCGCACCTTCTGCCAGTACGACGCCCTCGCCCGTGTCCGAGCAGGAGCACCTCCGACTCGCGCCCCGGCTCCGGCCGCACGCCCTCGCACTGGGACGTTCCTCCCAGTCCCCTCCTTCACGCCTGCTCCCAAAGCCGCGCCGGCGCCCGCCCTTCCACCTGGCATTCCAATGGATGTCGACCGGACCCGCGCACGCTTCACGCCGCGCACTTGCTTCCATTGCGGCGCGGCCGGACACCTCGCCCGAGACTGCCCGACTCCCTCGGATGTCCGGCACGCAGACATCCTGGACGAGGTCGTCCGTCAACTCGGTGACGACCTCCTCGGAGAACTCTTCGCGCGCCTCTCTACCACCGCTGGGCTTCCGGCCGAGCCGGACACCGGAGACACGGAGCCAGAGGGTTTTCCGGACCTGGCTGAGTGAGCGGTGTGCCCTCGGTCGCGTCCCCCAATCGTTACTCCTGCTTGTACAAAGATATACCCAATAAATCAGCAGTTGATACGAAAGGCGCACCCCCTATTCCCGCCCCAGAGGCCAAGACTGAACTTCCCCCTTCCCTTCCCCGCGTCCGCCGTCCGAGGTGGGAACGCAAACTACCCCGGCGGTACGTTATTGATTCCGTAGAGGGCCGGAACTCCCTGCACATTCCGTTGGAGATGCAATCGGTAGAGACCGCGGCTACGATGTCCGTGAAGGGTCTGGTTGACTGCGGAGCGACCGGAGACTTCATCGACTCGGAGTACGTGATCTCCCGCAACCTTCCCGTCCGGAAGCTCTCCCAGCCAATTCCGGTCCTCAACGTCGACGGCATGCCCAATGCGTCCGGAGGCATTTCCGGCGTAGTTGATATGGTCGTCAACTACAAAGGACACTCCGAACGCATCCAACTCGCGGTAATGCGGCTCGGAAAGCAGCACGTCATCCTCGGTTACTCCTGGCTTCAGAAGCACAACCCGGAGATCGACTGGGAGACCAAGGAAGTCCGGATGACCCGCTGTCCGACCAGCTGCAGCACTTGCCGGGAGGAGCTCCGAGCCGTCCGTCGCAACGCGAAGATCTCCGCCGCGATCCTCCGGCAGCTCCGCGAAGGTCCCGTCCCGTCTATCTGTGCCATTGACTCGGAGGAGTGGTGCGGAGATGACGGGTACAATCCGGGCGACGACGGAGACGACTTCCCGGACCTCACTCCGGACCCGGACGACGACGACGGTGACGAAGACGACGAGCTCGAGGACGGCGACCGGATTCTCTACACCGTGTTCGCTCCGGCTGAAGAAATCCACGCGGGCAGCACCGTCTCTCAGAGGCTTGCGGAGGCCTACGCCCGGAACTCGGCCCCGCCCGGGACCTCGGTTCCGGCCTGGGTAGAGGATTTCTCCGACGTTTTCGATAAGGAGTCGTTCGACGCGTTGCCGGAACGTCGGACGTGGGACCACGCCATCGAACTCGTCCCGGATGCGAAACCGGCCAACTGCAAGGTCTACCCGATCTCCCCCCTCGAGCAGAAGGAACTCGACGTGTTCATCAAGGATGAGTTGAGCACCGGCCGGATCCGTCCGTCCAAATCCCCGATGGCGTCTCCGGTCTTCTTCATCAAAAAGAAGGACGGAAGCCTCCGGTTCGTCCAGGACTATCGGGCGCTCAACACGATGACCGTAAAGAACCGGTATCCGCTCCCGCTGATTAACGATCTCATCAACCGCCTTAAGGGAGCCCGGTTCTTCACAAAACTCGACGTCCGGTGGGGCTTCAACAACGTCCGGATTCGGGGAGGCAACGAGTGGAAGGCCGCGTTCCGTACCAACCGAGGGCTCTTTGAACCCCTGGTGATGTACTTCGGCCTCACCAACTCTCCGGCCACGTTCCAGACGATGATGAACGACATCTTCCAAGACCTCATCCTGTCCGGAGATGTCATGGTATACCTTGACGACATCCTCATCGCTCACTCTGATCTCGCGCGCCACCGAGAGATCGTCCGAGAAGTCCTCCGGCGGCTCCGGGCGCACAAGCTTTACCTCCGGCCGGAGAAGTGCGAATTCGAGAAGTCGTCGATCGAGTACCTCGGCGTCATCATCTCGCACAACCACGTCGAGATGGACCCGGTCAAGGTCGCCGGAGTCGCCGCCTGGCCTGCTCCGGAGAACAAGAAGGACGTGCAGCAGTTCCTTGGCTTCACGAACTTCTACCGGAGGTTCATCCGGGCGTTCTCGGACATCGCGCGGCCCCTCTTCGACCTCACAAAGAAGAGCGTCGCTTGGACCTGGACCGCTGCCGCGGCCGCCGCCTTCCAAGCCCTCAAGGACGCGGTGACCGCGGAGCCCGTCTTGGTCCTACCCGACGAGTCGCGTCCGTACCGGGTCGAGGCGGACAGCTCCGACTACGCTACCGGGGCCGTCCTGTCCCAGCCAGACGCGAACGGAAAGTGGCACCCGGTCGCATTCTACTCCAAAAGTCTGAGTGACGTCCAGCGCAACTACGAGATCCACGACAAAGAGATGCTCGCGATCATCCGAGCCCTAGAGGAGTGGCGGCACTTCCTCGAAGGTACGCAGCATCCGGTCGAGATCTGGACGGATCACAAAAACCTGGAGTACTTCCGGAAGGCACAGAACTTGAACCGGAGGCAGGCGCGGTGGTCCTTGTACCTGTCCCGGTTTGACTTCGCGCTCCACCACCAGCCCGGACGCCTCATGGGCCGTCCGGACGCGCTGTCCCGTCGCCCGGACCACGGGGTAGGCTCGGACAACACGGACGTTACCCTTCTTCGCCCAGACTTATTCCACGTCCGCGCGCTAGAAGGCGTCGTGGTAGCCGGACCCGAAGTCCCCCTCCTTCGTGACGTCCGGGAGGCCTTCGCGAATGAACCGGACCTTGAGGACCCCGTCGCGCTTGTCGCGCAAGAGCTCCTCAAGAACCGGAATGTCCGCCCCCCCCGGTCGTCCGAGTGGCGTGTCGCAGAAGGGCTCCTTTACTACCGCGGTAAGATCGTCGTACCGCGGAATAAGGACCTCCGACGCCGGATCATCGCCCTGCACCACGACACCCGGGTCGCCGGACACGCCGGACGCTTCAAAACCCTCGAGCTCATCTCCCGGAATTACTGGTGGCCCCAGCTGTCCCGTCACGTCGGCCAATACGTCCAAACCTGCGACCCGTGCAACCGGATGAAGGCACTCCGGAAGTTACCCCACGGAGAGCTCCACCCGACCGAGATTCCGGAAGAACGCTGGGACACCGTCTCGGTGGACTTCATCGTCGAGCTCCCGGACGCGCACGGCTTCGACGCCGTTATGGTCGTGGTCAACGTCCTGGGTAAGCGGGCCCATTTCAACGAGTGCCACACCGGCCTTGGCGCGGTCGGAGCCGCTCGGCTCTATTACCGGAATGTCTGGAGGCACCACGGAACCCCCCGGAAATATATCTCCGACCGCGGGCCGCAGTTCGTCGCGGAGTTCACCACGGAACTGTGGCGCTTCATCGGGGTAGAACCAGCGACCTCCACCGCCTACCACCCGCAGACCGACGGCCAGACCGAGCGCGTCAATCAGGAACTCGAGCAGTTCGTCCGGATCTTCACGAACTACAAACAAGACGACTGGGACGAGCTTCTCCCGGCCGCGGAGTTCGCGTACAACAACCACGTCCACTCCTCGACGCAGCAAGTCCCGTTTATGACAGACACCGGAAGGCTCCCCCGGATGGGGTTCGAGCCCAACGGACTACGCTCGAACGTGGAGTCCGCGAACGAGTTCCGGGACCGGATCGCGTCCGGAGTTTCGGAAGCCAAAGCCGCGCTCGTTAAAGCCAAGGACAAGTTCAAGCTGTACTATGATCGAAGGCGCACGCCCGCCCCAGAGATCAAGGTAGGCGACCGAGTCTGGCTGGACGCCTCCGATATCCGTACGACCCGTCCGTCCGTCAAATTTGCGGACAAACGCCTCGGCCCCTTCAAAGTCGCGAAGGTCGTCGGAAAGGGGGCGTACAAACTCGAGCTCCCCCCCCGGTACTCCCAGCTCCACCCGGTCTTCCCGGTGGTGAAACTCCAGCTCGCGGAACCAGATCCGTTCCCCGGATGCCCCCAGACCGACGAACCCCCGCCCGTCCTTCAGACGGACCACGACGTTCAATGGGAAGTCGAAGAGATCCTAGAAGCGAAGGTCCGTTATGGCAGCCTCTGGTACATGGTGCGGTGGAAAGGCTACGGCCCGGAACACAATAAATGGGTAAAGCACTCCGACGTCTTCGCCCAAGATGCCATTGATGCCTATTATCGCCGCTACCCTAACGCCCCGCGCCGGATAGCCTCGGCCGCTTTCGACTCGCTCTCGTTCCGGAGGCGCGACGCCCATGTCCGATTCATGCGTCGGGACGCCGCATTCCAAGGGGGGGGTGATGTCAGGGGAACCACCCGTCCGTCCGTCCGTCCGTCCGGCTCCGGCCCATCGCACCGCCCCACTTCCTCGTCCGATCCTTCGTCCGGCCTCGTCCGTCCATCCGTCCTTGCCCGACCATCCGGCCTTCGGTCCTATGCCCCAGCCTACGCCTCCGTCTGGAACGTCGCCCTCCGTCCCTCCGGACTCCGTCCCCCTCCGACCCCCCGCGTCCGGTCGCTCTCACTGGCACGTGCTATGCGATCAAGCTCGAGACCACTGCCGATCGATCCGGACACGTGCTACTGGCTAGTACCTACAAAAACCTCGCCTAGCGTGGGAATCCTTATCCTTTCTTCTCTTCGGATTCTCCCGCTAGGTGCGTATTCTAGAAACCTGTATTTAGTACTGTCAATTGAGTTACTTTGGATTCTCCCGCTAGTCTCCCGCGCTCCCGCGCCGAGCTGAGGTTGCCCTTACAGGTTCGAATCCCCGAGGGCGCATGGTGATTTCTCCCATAAGGTTTTGTTTTGTCTATCCTTCTATTCTGTGGTGCGTTTTATTATCCCCTTCATCGTCCAATAAATCTCAGTCACTTTTCACTTCCAATATTTTTATTTGTTTGTCTTGTGTTCACCTCTCCCTCCAGCACTAGCAGAACAGAATATGATTTACTCCATGTAGGATTTAGGATTGAAGATGTATCAAGTAGCTAGGTACCAAGCTCAAGGAGACAAAGCGTCCTTGGTGTAGCGAAAACATGCATCTTGGAAATTGCAAATGGGACATCATTTAAATAAGATGAGACTGGGGTAAGTTGACTCTCCGAGGCTGCATGAATGCTACATCCATAACATTTTTTTTGTCTGTTCTATTCTGTGGTGCCCTCCATACTACATCCAATAATCCTAGTCCTTTCACTGCCGATATTTTATTTGTTGGTTTTGCGTTCACCTCTACCTGCAGAACCCTTGGGCACTAAGTCTAGTAGGAATCCGATCTAGTTTAGTTTAGTATGTAGCATGCAAGATGGAAGATGCATGTAGGTACTAAGCTCAAGGAGACAAAGCATCCTTGGTGTAGCGAAAACACACATCTTGGAAATTACATATGTATTGGGCAGCATTTAAATAAGATGAGACCGGGGTTCAACTCCCCGAGGGCGCATAGATTTCTTGAGTATCGTTTTTTTTTTTTCCTTTTTTTGGGGGGCGGGGGCGGGGTATTCAGTCTCTCAACTTTGTAGGTCTATTTTTTGGTTGGCACATTCTGTCTCAAGTACCCTTTTTCTTTGGGTTTTCTGATCGTTGCCATATGGCAGGTGCTGACCCCCCTATTTATGCAAGTAAGTCATACGCAGTGGGGCAACATACGTATTATTAGGATGTAGGTAACTAAACACAAAGCCCCCTTGGTGTAGCGTTAGCACACATCCAGTTTGTTGCAAAGGTAGTAAGAAACATTACGGATGAGTTCGGTTACAAGTGCAAAGCATCCTCGGGGTATCGATAACATGTCTGCGCTGTAAACAAGTGGTTGTGGGTGTGTTTGGGACGAGTCCAGGGTTCGACTTCCTGATCGCGTATTCTTTTAAGGGTTCTTTTTTGGTGTTGTTATCAAGATCATCCATCCCACCTCGATACTCCAACAGACACTGAGTGCATGATCTGTCTTTCATGCAGTGGAAACATTCATGCCCCTTGTAGTCAGTCATCAGGAAAGGGAATTTCTGCATAGGCCCTGGGGTTCAATTCACATAAGTATTGCTTGTTGAGTTCTTTTTGGGGGGTTGGTTGGTCGGTGTTGGCACATCTGTCTCAAAACCTTTCCTACTCTCTCTTAAGTACAGCCTTTTGCAGAACTTAGAGTTGGGACAGTTTTTTGTTCCATTTTCAAAGGATTTTCATGAGGAACACTGCCACAAACTCAATTTTGATCGGACTACCTCGGATTCCGCCACTTCTGGCACTAAGTCTAGTGGGAATCCGATCTAGGTTAGTTTAGTATGTAGCATGCAAGATGGAAGATGCATGTATCATGTAGCTAGGTACCAAGCTCAAGGAGACAAAGTGTCCTGGGTGTAGCGAAAACACGCATCTTGGGAATTGCATGTCGGACATCACTTAAATAAAACAAGAGTGCACTAAGTCTGGTAGGAATCCGATCTAGTTTAGTTTAATATGTAGCATGTAAGATGGAAGATGCATGTAGGTACCAAGCTCAAGGGGACAAAGTGTCCTTGGTGTAGCGAAAACCCGCATCTTGGAAATTCCATGTCGGACATCACTTAAATAAGACAAGAGCGCAGCAGGGCGCTTCGCACCCCACCACTTCAGTTGAAGTTGAATTCCTGTTTGAAATCATGACCCAAGCCAAATTGACGGAGAAGATATCAGAGTTGGAAAATGCTTCAGATAGAATGGCTTAATTTTAAAAAGAGGGTGATGAGACCGGGGTTCAACCCCCGAGGGCGCAGGAATCTTACATCCATATTGTTTTGTTTTGTCTGTTCTTCTATCCTGTGGTGCCGCCCAAACTACATCCAATAAATCCCAGTCCTTTCACCACAAATATTTTTATTTGTTTGTCTTGCATTCACCTCTCCCTCCAGCACCAGTAGAAACTTTATGTAAGATGTAGGATGGAAGATGTATCATGTAGCTACAGTGGTGCTCATTAAATGTGCACTGCAGTGTTAACCACATTGGGGCCACCTGGTGACTTCAGACAACTTGTAGACATGAAATATAGCGGCATCTAGGACTTCTTGACGGTTTTCTGATTTTCCCAATATGGCAATTCACCTGCAATCATAGCTTTTATAAGCCCTTGAAAATGACCTTTTTTGTGGGTGACCATGGGAAGAAACTGAGTACATGGGATGAAAGTGCTTGCTAAATGGATCATGCTCACATTTTGAATGGAGTGGTTTGATAAAGCAAATCCTTCAGAAATTGAGCAACAAGTTGGTCATTTTGGCTGTTTTTGGTCATTTTTTGAGCATTTTTTGTCAAATTTGGCCAAAATGACCAACTCAAATCTCAACCAATTGATATGGTTCAAGGAGCAATCATTTGAGAATCACATTGACCGACCAGCTTGGAGGACGCGTCATCACCGATTTTCGGCTCCGGTGGGCTCGGCGTGAGGCAAAATTGTACCATACTTATTTAGTAGAACTACGGCCGTAAATACCGTATACGGCCGTCATTTTTACGGGTCCGTACGGTATACCGTACGGGCCAAACCGTAACCGTATCGAGGCGCGTGAGGACTTATACAGGACGGTTACGGGTGCGTATAACCGTAACCGTATTACGGTATTGTACGGTTACGGTGGGGATCCCTACCTCGTACAAGCAGTTGTGAGCCGTTTCTGTGAGTAAAGATATTCACGTGTTTTCCTTCAGTGTCCGAGTACTAGGAGAAGGATAGTATCATTGGCATTCAGATTGTTTCCCGTGACACTGTACAGACACTAGAATATATTGGGGACCCTCAAGACTTGCTGGTTGTTATCCGTATGCAAACCTTTACGGAAGCACTTTACAAGCCCCACAGCACACATTAGGACTAATCAGCGCAACTTCTAGTAGACTCCCAAGATCCGAACGGAAAACACAAGATAAACGCACGTCAGCGAAGTTGTTCGCTCCCTGGTTCTAATATGGAACCTAGTAGGCCAGAGGCTCGGCGATTCAATACGTAAAACAGGTAAACAGGGAATCGGATCGCTCTAGCCGCGAAAGCATGGTACGTGCGTTATGTTCAATATGTAAGATCGTAGAATGCACTACGGAACCGATTGTTTACCGGGGATTTTGAGATCCAGATAAAAACTCAAGATCAAAACAAACTCCACAACTCATCTTCCCTCTTGTCCGCAATTTTGCACCAGCCTTACTAGTCCGCACGATGGAGGGGGAAATTTCAATAAGTCTCGTCTGCATCATGACAGCACTGGTACTCCCCTCAATTGTATCACTGTTGTGGCGCGGATACCCAAAGGTGTGGACTACGAGTTATTGACCACATTATGGTGCTCATAAGGCCCAGAATGCCATTCCGCCGTTTGTCGGGGCCACGAACATCCTCTCATCCTGCATGACGGCATTCAAACTCCAATTCGATGCGACGAAAATGTTCCGCAAGGCCTACTCTCTACATGGAAACGGCGTCTTTCGGCTGCCCGCATTTTCCCGCTGGACGTATCTCATTTCCGGGGGAAAGTACATTGCTGAAGTTGCATCTGCGCCGGAACACATCGTGTCATTCAATGAAGGACTCGCCGATGTACGACATTTGCCATCATGCAACACAAGTTATGTCGCTCATTTCCCCTAGGTTCTTCAAACAGACTGGACAATTGGCCGGGATATCACAGAAAATGCATACCATACACCGGCAATCCGAGCGGGGTTGCGTAACCTAAGTCTGAGTTTCCCGCAAATGCACGACGAACTTGTGCACGCGTTCGATACTTTGCTGGCGCTGAATAACAACGGTACGATGCCATTAGAATTCTTGCTTGGCAACTCTGACTATGTATTTTGCTTCAGAATGGAAACTAATCACCGTTGTTCCTAGTGTCACACAAATCATCTCTCGCATCACCGCTCGCGTTTTTGTTGGCCTTCCGCTCTGTGCGTTCTTGATATTTTGCGTCGGTTCCAAGATTGACCGGAGACTTTAGGCAGAAACAAGGAATACCTGGATCTTACCAGCGGCCACAACATCAGAGTTTTCGCAGCGTCGCAGATCCTCCGAATTTGTCCTGACTTTCTCAAGCCGTAAGTGCGACCCGTTTCAGAGTATACTTGTCCCGATAAATGGCGGTTAACATAGGATCATCGCTCCGATAATTACGACCCGCAAGAGCGCCGTTCGTCATGCGTTGACCCTTCTGGGGCCCATGATTGAGGAGCGCCTCGAAATTGAACGCGAAGTCGGTCGGGATTGGCCGGACAGACCGGTTCGTTTGGTTGACTTTGTTGTTGAACTTTTCCATTGATGGGTCGTCCTCAGAATGACCTAGTATCATGGCTGCTCGACTTCGCCGAGGGCGATAACCGAACGCCTGAGGCACTCGTCCGACGCATCCTTACCCTCAACCTAGCTGCACACAATACATGGATGGTATTAAATATTCCTCCCGGGCGGTCACCATCTAACAATTCATCAGTCGATGACGGCCGCACTGTATGATCTTGCAAAATACCCCGAGTACGTGCTCCCGCTGCGCGAAGAGGCAGAGCGCGTGGTCGCGGAACAGGGTTGGACAAGAACATCGATCAGTAACATGCACAAAACCGACAGTTTCCTCCGCGAGTCGCAACGGCTGAGTGCAAGCGGACCTAGTAAGCCAACATCTTGCCTATTTTACTCAACGTAATTGTGTTGTAGTTGGAATGGCACGCCAAGTAGTCGCGAAGAACGGCTTCACGTTCAGCGACGGAACAACGCTTCCCTACGGCTCGTTTCTGAGTGTCCCTGGCCATAATGTAAACTCTGATCCAGGTATTTAGTACCCTCGTCATGTTATTGAACGAAACTGATATTTTTGAAAGCCGTGTACGAGAAACCCGAACTCTTTGATGGCTTCCGCTTTTCGCGCATGCGCGAGGAGCGCGAGAATGGTTCCCGTACATGCCAGGAAACCAGCATTTTCACACATCACATGGTCACCACAAGTCCCAATCACGTCGTGTATGGACATGGACGCCATGCGTGTCCCGGGAGGTGTGTCAACATACCTTGACTTGAGCGTACGCCAGTTCTGATGAACCACTGCAGATTCTTCGCCGCGCTACAACTCAAAACAGCACTGGCCCACATCCTGATAAACTATGATGTCAAGGCAGAGACCGAGGGTGTCCGACCGCCTGATCACGAATTCAGTTTGTTCAAGGTTCCAAATACGCGCGGGCAAATCTATATTCGGAAGAGGGTTTGAATATATATACTAGTACGTCGAATGAGATGGAGAAACATCGTCTATTTCGCCATAAGCAAGCTGTGCAGAAAGAAATGTCTATATCAAAGGCAGGCATGATGTGAACAATAATAGGGCCACGGGGAGGTGTGTAGAAGATTCAGTGAGTCTTCGTAGTCCTCAGTCGCACCAGCGTATGGTAAGAGACTCAATATATTTATGTACCTGTAGAGGA